TTCCGTAGAAAAGCGAGGTCATGAGTCGTATAAATGTCGTGCGTTAATATATTTGAGTCGATTCATCTACAAACTTGAAATGTAAAAAACCTATGCAGTAATAATTAACTAGTTGTTCTGAACTTCTGCCCATGCGAGCAACAGGAAGAGAACGCAGAGAAGATTTGGGGATTCTTCACAGCCTTTTTGTCCAATGCAAACTGCTGGTTGATTAAGCGCTTGTTTTTTATGTAAATTAATTTTATCAATGTCAATGTCACTACTCTTCAGATGAGTTTTTCCCAGTTAGAACACATAAGGCTCCGTCCAAACTCATTCGTTCATGGTTCTTCTGTCACTTAAGTTTGTTTTTTAAAATATACTGAACTAAGTAAACAACTGAAACATAATTCAAAGTTTTGAACACTCCCACATTATAAGAAAAACGTACTGTTACTTCTCTAAAAGCAATAGAAATCTACGTTAGAATCAAAAGGTTAACTAATATTAGCAGGGCCATTTTAAATACCTACCCCAATACACACAGATTTGGGTTGGAATATACCCGTTTTGTCCCCATAAAATCTGTATATTGATACAAATTTTAATCGGTCAACCCACTCTAGATATTGAAGGAAAATGTAACGAATGCATTCAAAATCAATAATATCAATTATTTAAGACAGTGGACGCCACTATGTGCGTATTTTAAGTCAAATATTAGTGAAGGATGAGTGGCGCGATCTTGCAGTCTTGTTAGTGACTAAGGCCGACATGTTCCTTAGACACAGCTGTTAATTAATAGTCCATACAGCCAATGTCAATTAAGGGACCTACAGTTTAAGTGGAACCCGAACCACATTTTTCCCTTGTAATTCGGTAATTGGTTTAGTTACCACGTTAGTACTGCGGGATAGTCGTAGTACTCACTAGTGCGGAAGTTAATCCATACCAACTCCTAAGTTTCCACTCAACTAATCATAGCCAATGTTTCTCGTCAAGCTTTTTCACAAGTTCTAGATCATTACCCGACGTAGGTTCTTCACTCCGTTAGTCAGATTGATCCAGAGGGACGATGTAGTCCATGAGCATGTCGTCTGCTAGGAAGTATTGGAGTGTGATCGTTGGAGCGAGAAGGGCCTTGACTCATTGCAGGATATTGTCTGAAGTTCATGATACAAACATAACGACCTATGATAGCTGACTGTTACGTATAGCCACTCATTATGTTAGTTGGCTGGGTAAAATATAAGGAATCGACCACATACAAGTTGCGATTGCAGTTTTGGTTTACTAAAAATACTTATCGATACGGATTGGTAAACGTTTTAAGTCATCGTTAAGTAACTGATTTTATTTAGGCATCTTATTAACATATTTATCACATAACCCGTATATTGCACGTTTACTAAGTGATTATTGCTACTTTGAAAAGTGTGACTGGGACTGGGACGGTGGCGTTGTCCTGTAATCCAGCTACTAGGAGGACACGAATTGTAGATATTTATAGACATGCACTGTGGATGCGATGCTCCCTGGTGTGGATTAACGTCCGCACTAGTGAGTACTACGACTATCCGTAGTAATATTCTGATAATTAGACCAATTCGTTAATTACAAGGAAAAAATGTGGTTCGGATTTACTAAAAACTGTAGGTCCCTTAGTTGCCATTGGCTGTATGGGCTAAATAGCTGTGTCTAAGGAACATGTCAGCCTTTAGCATAGACAAAAAGAATTCCTTTAGTCACTAACAAGATTACAATAATTGATCGAACCACTCATCCTTCTCTTCTGTACAATACACTAATTTGGGTTAAAATACGCACATAGTGGCATTCCCATCTTAAATAATTGATTGATCGATTCGTTCTCACAGATTAAACACATTCCTTAAAGACCTATTTATAATCCTTATGGATGACTTGAGGACAATTTCAATTTTAAGGTTAGCTAGGTACATGTAGTATCAGGTACTACATGATACTAGTTATTCAGTAATAACCTAATAATAAATCACAAAAATGCACCCATAAGAAACATTTTGTCGACACACCCGTCTTCAAAAGTCAACAGCATGCAACCTGTAACAAGCATAAAGACAGGCTTTAGATAACAATTACTGCCCTGCTAATAAAGAAGGCAGTAAGTGCAAAATTTTCGATTTTCAGATTTTGTTGTAATTTAAGGTTTTTAGGGTCAGGGATTCTGAAAAACACACTTAAAAAGCCGCATCTACAACCGTTTCTGAGATATGGCAGGTGTATATTGCAGTATATACATCATTTTTGAACAGAAACTAAGCTAAAAGGCAGTATCTATAAAAGCTAAGCAAGAAAGGCAGTATCTGCGATGTAGATACTGCCTTTATGCTTAGTGATGTACATCACGTACTGCCTTTTTGCTTAGCATTATGGGTACAAATGAGGAACTAAAAGCAGTTTTTACCAGCTGAGATTATGTTGTTGTGTTTGTGTTTACACTGTTGTTTGTAAATATGAAAATGGCTAGTAGTAGTTAGATACTGCTTTTTAGCTTAGGGTCCTCCTATTAGCACTTACTAGCTAAACAAAATGGCAGTATGAGCAGATGCTGCCTTTTGGCTTAGCATGAACACAAATATTTCTAAGGACAAAAGCAGTATGTGCATTATTATATTGATCCAGTTTAAAAAATTTATTTTTTATAGTGTCAATTGAATATTTAGGCCTAAGCATTACCGAAGATAACAAAAAATATTAGTTTAGTCTTCACATGTGTTAGGGCAATGGCGGCAAAGTTGAGGTCATTTTCTGAAAATATTCACTTTTGCACATACTGCCTTCTTTCTTAGCAGGGCAGAATAGGACGAAAGGTTTGCTTATACTATTCAAAGTCGCCAATTAGTGTTCATACGTCGATGTTGTCAACACAGAATTAGTACTTGTTCATTGGGCGGTCTAAATGATGCAACAATAAAACCATTTAGTTTCATAAGGTCCCACTACTCGTCATATTATGACGCTGAATGAGTCTGAAGATTATTACAAAGTAAAAACCATTAAGCTAGTAACTAAACGGAATGTTAGAGACATATTTTTGTACAATACTGTATATCAGCATCAAATAATTCCCTTCTACGAAACCACCAGAATTAGAATAAGAACATGAAACAGATTTCGAGTCAAACAAATTTTGGGTGAATTTGATTGACAAACTCAACTTATATTATTCTTGGTAAGTGACCAAAACTTAGACATTTCTTTGTTAGACTCCTTTTGATCCTAATACGAGATACATATTACATTTATACCCCTTCAATAAAAATACTCGTTGTCTTGAGGAAAGCTTTTGTGTATTCATTACGAGGAAAACCAACGAGGAACTATTGTTTGTGTATGTTGTTACAGATAGATGCTATACAGTACATGCCAAAGAAGTTACTAACGTGAAAATTATGCATATGAGCTATTATTAAATCTTTATATTTTTTAATTTCTCCCCCTAACCCATAGTATATGGAGAAAGTATTGTTTTAGTCAAGAGTTTGAGTTTTGAGTAGATATATCCGTTTTGGGTACCCCTGAACCCTAAAAAGTCATTTTCGAAGTGAAGTCTGTCCGTATGTGTGTCTGTCTGTCTGTATGTGTGGATGTAGACAAAGCTACAGACTACACCTGTTGTTTGATTTCGATTAAATTTGGTATATAGGCACTAATCCATGGTATCTCCAGGCGTTTTTAATGGCGATTTCCCCGTAAAAAGCCATAAAATAACGGAAAAATAAGATTTTCTAAAAAAATGGCCCGAACAATTTTGATTAAAATTTGTATGCTATGGCCCTTTAAATTTTGATCAAAATGGTACAATTAACATTTCCGTAAAAATTACGATTCAAAAATTATTGTGGCATGTTATTTTCTCATAAAACCCCATAAAATAACAACAAATCGAATTTTAGGAAAAAACCAGTTTTAATTAAAATGTATTGCACGTATTGTACTTAATTGTAAACAAAATAGTGCAACCCCGCCCCATCGCTGAAACAATTGCGGTTCAAAAATGATTGCAACTGTTGTGATTTTCCCCATAAAATGCCATAGTTACTCCCACTGCTTACGCATGATTTGACAAGCCAATGTGAGAAAAAGTATGGGTCAGATTGCTGACACCGTTTATTTTATAATTTGAGTAAGCTTTGCCCACTTTTTACGTACATAAGTTTGTATAGCTATCAGAATCATGGCAAGCAAACCATATTTTTTATCGCTAAAGAACTCCTTTCGTACCGTGTAAGTGCGCACTGTATTTTATAATGATGAACCAGAGAAGGTCTTTCGTGTTCTACCGCATTCACGAGGTCATCGTTATCGTTACCCATCGCAACAAAATCATCATCTTCTCCTCTCCCGATATACCAGCTACATATCGTCATCGTCACCCGCGATCGCGAAAAATCGTCATCCTCTCCTCTCCCGATATACCGGCTACATATCGTCATCGTCACCCGCGATCGCGAAAAATCGTTATCCTCTCCTAGCTCTCCCGATATACCGGCTACATATCGTCACCCACGATGATGGCGAAATCGTGTGAACATTACTTTCGATTACGGGAACGTCATTATTTTACTGTGCAAACGTTACAAAATATTAATTTGACAAAATTTAAATTTTGCAAAAAAAGTTATTTTGTACAAAACGCGGCCTATGGGTAAATCCTGCACAGACTAGTTTACATTAACCTGTCCTTTGATCCAGTAACCGGTGTCAGTTTTAATCTGGGAATGGGATGTCTTGAAAAACCTTTCATAACAAATAACGATCAGGTGATTAAGACTTTTTTAAACAAATAATTTCCTCCAACGCAAGTTTTACTATCTTCAAAGTGTTTTAAGTGATAGACATTCTCATGACACATATTTCCTGCGGCCCTTTCCTCACAAGGGTTTCCTGTGTTCCAACTCTGCAAGTTCAAGGTCGCGTTTCCTTGGTCGGCCGTGAGTTGTAGTTGATAAGGCAGGCGGGCCGCGCGGTCTGCCAGTCTGTCATGCTGCTAGGCTGGTGGCAGCTGCTGTTGCTGGTAGCAGGCATGTCTAGCTAGCGTACTATCTGTGTCAGTCATGAGGTCGTGTGTGTGTTTTGTGCTGCTGTCAGTGGGTCTAAGTCTAGGAAGCTGCTACCAGAGGACTTCCTGCAAAGTCACGCCTGAGTATGGATGCGTTCTTGAGACTGAGGTGGGTTTGTGATAGGCTAAATAATCTACAAAGAAGCGTGTACCTACTAAATATTAACTATATTTTAATATTATATTATAATATAGGCTATTATAATATACATATGTTATTATTATCCTTATATATAATACGTGAAGGCGATTTCTACGAAACACTACTCCTCCGTTAATAATGGACGGATTTTTACAAACGACGTGTCAAAATAAAGTATTTTTTGTGTAGACGCCCCCTTCCACCAATTCCTGTAATAAAAATCCTCAGGCTTTGTCCCACAGGCCATCAAAGTTGGAGTTTCTCCCATCAGATTAACATGTGGGAATCTAAATATTTAATTGGAAACTTTGTCCCCATTAATTTGAGAGGACGGCAGGGCGTAGAAACTTGGTAGAGGTGCCCAAAGAAAGGTCTTGGTCTGTAGATGAGTTATCAAAAGAAAAACTAAGCAAAATCCCTTAGGACTCTGCCCCAAACCCTTAAAGATCCCTCCACAGAGTTGTTTACATTTTGGCCATGTAAATAATACTTTTTAATGAAACAGCTGTTCATTTTTAAATTGTATTTCAAACCACACACATTTATTAGTCCAGTCAATGAATGCTCAAAAGGTGAGTGTAGAGGACATGTAGAGGGGGAAATTTTTTTCTGCGGGAATGTGTTCGGGGTGGTTAGAAGATAAAAATACCAAAAGTCCCCGCCCCTGCTGTTTCAGCGGTGGGAGGGGGGGAAGGACCCCATTTTTTAGTTTTTTACTTCTACACTGAAAACCGTGCATCGTACGGAAAAAATGTAAATGATAACAAAAAAGATGATGAAATTCTCTACAAGAATGGTCATATTCATTTATTCCGTATTTACATTGGTTTAAAAGATATTCTCAAAATAATATAAAAATTCTTAAATAAATTGATTTTTCATGCGTTTTTTGTCAAATAAGTTTATATAATCCATTAGCCTGTTGTTGTTTCACATCAATCGGGATAGAAAACAGGGTTTTTAACACTAACCTATGTAATATAATATATCAATCATATATATTGTGTTAAAAATCCTACTAATATTATAAATGAGAAAGTTTGGATGTATGGATGTATGGATGTATGTTTGTGACAAGTAAACGCAAAAAATACTGGTCGGATTGGGCTGAAATTTGGTGTGATGATAGCTCACATTCCCGATTAACATATAGACGCATTCTTATCTCAAAAGTCCTTTCGGGCACCGCCCCAGGGGCTCTGGAGTTTCCCATGTTAACCTTATGAGTAATCATATTTAAAAGGAATAAAATAATTTCGTCAGTAGTTGCAAATACTCAAGTTGGTTCTATGATATTAGATAGCATTAACAAGTTATAAGGTTTACCAACAGGGCGCAGTAGACTACTATTAATTTTAGTATAAAACTTCAGTATAGAATATTTTTTAAAGATCAAAATGTTTCTATTTTGCGTCCTCTTCCCGTTGCAAAGCACGGGTACAACAGCTAGTAGTTTATATAAATTTAAATAAGTTATGTATGTTCGTCATGGAAACAAGTAATTTTTGCAAAATTATTACACTAAAAATTAAAAAGATTATGTTTGTAGCTATATTTGTCCAGGTTTATTTATATCAATAACCCAAACCAAGACTTAATATTATTGTTCATGGTCTGGCTCACTTTGGACGAGAGGGTCCGACTTCTGTCCCAAAAACTGGTGCCATCTGGAACTGAAAACCACCATCTAGGACATCTCCATCATTCAATTCTTGTTGATTAGACTCAATATTGGCTATCGAAGTGAGAATTCGGTGTAGGCCTATATATTCTTCATCTTTCTCATTCATCAGAATGGGCATTTCATGTAAAAAGTTCACTTAGCAGTTCTGGCATAACGGAGAACAATTATTGGACATTTTCTTGCATGCACAAATTGCACATCTGGCACTGTTATAATCTTTAGTACATTTGCAAAATACTTGGTTAAGGTATTAACTGTTCCTGGTTACTATAATTTCGGTGTCTATGTTCAAATGAATAACCAGTGGCGGTCCCTTAGGGGGGGGGAGGTATATATCCTCTCCGAAATAATTGATTAGCTAACATAAATACTATTAGCTTGAAGATATTTTAGAGCTCAAATGCATATCAAAATACGTTATTGTGCTTTAAATTCCACATTTTTTCCGGGGGGGGGGGGGAAATGTGGAATTATTTATATAATTTCCCCCGGAAATTAAATCCTGGGACCGCCACTGCTACTGATTTTTTCAATCTGTAGCGTCTTTCTTGGTCTGCCATCTTCGTGCTGTTTTCTGAATTGCTATATCCGTCAAAAACAACAATGCATTACCTTACAAGGTAATAGGTATCCACGTACCTCACGTACCCATCACATATCACAGAAACTGAACTTTGCCATATAACCTTATGCGTGAGAAATAGCCCATCGATAACCAAATTAAAAGTCGTTAAAACTGTTGTTGGTTGGTTCCAAAGAACTTGAACAGTGCAGGCATTTTTGGTCTTTACTCATACCACTCTCATTAAATAAAGGGAAATGGAGCAAGTTCAAATCGTTAACAATCCTTTAAATCTTGATAACTTTTTTAACTTATACAAATCGTATACGTATACAAAACGTATACAAAACTTTGAAACAGAATTAAAGGTTTTGCTGCAACGTTTTAATCATTGATATCGATGGTTGAACTCACAGAGGACAAAGGGAGAGCCATATTTTCCCGTGACAGCTTGTTGTCTGCAAATGATTACAATCTGGTTAATTACTCGCAGACTACGTATTACAGCATCGTAACAGTTAACGGATTTATCTCCTACAACTCCAGATGCTATTGACAGTTTGAGTTTCAGGGAAGAGTGGGTGATTTTCAAACATTGCTGTCAGTTTAGAAATATTTGATATTTCATCATTTGTATAATTTAATCAAGGACAACTCTGTTTGGAAAACCAACTACCCTCAGAAATGTGAGATTGGGAGCGCAAAAAAGGTAATCTATTCCCAGTTTTAACCAATGAACCACCTAACCCACGAGAAATATTGGGCTTGTTTTTTGCAAATATAGGTACTAAAGATTGTAGCAACGAAAGATGTACATGCAATGAAATGTCCATTAAATGTTCCTCATTGGCCGTTATGCCAGAACTGCTAAGGAGGCCGTTTAAATAGAATGCCAATTCTGATAAATGAGGATGATGAAGAATATATACACTGCACTCTCACATCGACAGCAGATATTGAGTCTAATGAACTAGAATTGGATTATGGAGAGACCATGAACAATAGTATTAAGTCTTGGTTTCGGTAATTGATGTAAATAAACCTGGACAAATAAAGCTACAAACATAATCTTTTTTAATTTTTAGTGTAATAATTATGCCAAAATTACTTGTTTCCATGACAAATATACATACCCTGGTATGGATACTCCCTGGTGTGGATTAACGTCCGCACTAGTGAGTATTACGACTATCCGCAGTACTATCCTGATAATTAGACCAATTCGTATATACCAAGGAAAAAATGTGGTTCGGATTCCACTATAAACTGTAGGTCCCTTAGTTGCCATTAGCTGTTTGGGCTATTAATTAACAGCTGTGTCTAAGGAATGTCGGCCTTAGTCACTAACAAGACTACAAGATCGCGCCACTCATCCTACACTCATCTCCATTCATACTTGGCTTAAAATACCTACATTGTATGGTCGCCATTTCATAAGAAAGTATTAAAGTAAAGTACCTTATTTACATTTATATAAACTATTTTTAACACAATATATACGATTGATATATTATATTATATAGGTTAGTGTTAAAAAACCTGTTTTCTATCCTGATTGATGTGAAACAACAACAGGCTAATGGATTATATAAACTTATTTGACAAAAAACGCATGAAAAATCAATTTATTTAAGAATCTTTATATTATTTTGAGAATATCTTTTAAACCAATGCATATACGGAAGAAATGAATACGACTATTCTTGTAGAGAATTTCATCATCTTTCTTTTTATAATTTACATTTTTTCCGTACGATGCACGGTTTTCAGTGTAGAAGTAAAAAACTAAAAAATGGGGTCTTTCCCCCCCTCCCCCCCGCTGAAGCAGCATGGCCAGGAGCGGGGACTTTTGGTATATTTATCTTCTAACTACCCCGAACACATTCTCGCAGAAAAAAATTTCCCTCTCTCCATGTCCTCTACAATCCCTTTATTGACTGGACTATATTGGAAGTTACTGAATTCTATTCACTCTATTTGTCTATGACTCTACCAAATAAGTATTTGCAATGTTATTTTCTGATTTTAAAATTGATTTTCTTCTTTATCATGTCATGTGTTGCAATATAAAGTTCCATTACGAAATCAGTGGAAAATCCTTTTATCACAATAACTCTTACAATTATTTCTTACGGGTTGGTGTATGCTTTTTTGACCACTTTTGAATACATTTTATCATATTATTCTACACATATCAAATATTTATGTAGACATATCTGCTCTTATCGTGTCTAATAAAATCCAAACATAGAAACCTTGCCTAATATGGAACCCATCTTGACAAATTATTTGCACCTGCCTATATTACGGACTTTGGCGCAGTGGTTTGGTAACATTATTGAAAATAACACGACATTTTGGATGTAAAATATTGTACAAACAGAAAATACTATTTGAGCGGTATGGGGAATATTTTATTCATTGAATGATCAACCAAATTTGGCAACTAACGCAATTAATATCATTATTCTTTTTACACTTATTACTCTTTAAACAATGCTAAATGTTCAAAATATGTATATTTCACCCAATTTATCGCAGTTAGATGAATTAGAACGTAAACCTTGAAAGTAAACGTCGATTTCAACGGGTTTCACCTAGTTATAATATAATACCGTAACTAAAAATTGTATTTAAATGGATTTATCCTTAGTAATACCAATTAGTAGATGTAGCATGTCAATTCATAAGCAAATTTTAATTTACCATTCATAAAACCCT